GACATCCTATTTTGTTCCTTGGTTATCCGATGGTTAAGATTTTCCAGTGAAACAGACTGTTGCCATATGAACCTGCTCTGACTCTCCAGGAAGTGTTAAGGAGGGTTAGTTGTGATGTCTCAAAATACTGGATCCTCTGACCTCCCCACGTAGCCCAGTTTTGTCTGGCAGACTCACGTGCCATGCAAAGATAGCCTTATCACAGCTCATAATCAAATACTACCTCAGTATCGAGTCAATGTGCCTCCCATTCCTCTGTCTTATTTCTCTCTGTGAACCTGTTTCTTCTCATGCCCATGTCTGCATGTGTAGGAAAACAGGTGGAGGTGGGGGGTGATATTTACCAATGCCACTCACAGATTTAGACACAAATAACAAATGTGCTTTGGAATCTATAGCACATCATGTTTGTATTTTATGTAATAGCAAATTCTTCAAGTAGTGGCACTGGTCCTGGCATAGCAATACCTCCCTTGTTCAAATCAACTTTATCCTCTACAATTGCACAAATAGTTGGTACATCTCTAATTGAACTGGAACACAGTGTTCCTATATTGGTTTTATGCCAAACACTGGTGGAATTTAGCAATTTCGCTCACAGATCTCATCTGAGCTATTCATAACCTGTTTTGTTTTCTCATATCACATCATTATGCTGTTTTATATGCAAACAAAATGGGTCTATTATAGTCTTTGTTTAACCTTGCTTTGATGTTTAAAAGGACTTTTGTCAATCTCTATATGATTGCTGGTAAACAGTGGAACGTTTTTTATTGTTGAAGAGTGTTCAAAAGGGTTCTCTGTCTCGTGATGTGATTGTGCTTGAATAATGCCAAGAATTCACTGTTTATCATGTGATGTTTTCATCTGCAACTCGCCTACTCTTTGAATTAATATGCGTTTGATAACGAGGCTCTGTGGTGTGTCCATAGAAACCTTCACTAAAACACTCATACTAATTAGATTTATTTTGATTCGGATGTTTTCCTGGCATTTTGCCTGTACCTATTTCCACCCGATTTTAACCTTTTCAATGTCAGCAAATCTGAAACACATTAGCCTCAGATCTTCCCGATGATCCTATGATTGCAGAGGTTGCTAATAGGATTAGCCTTACACCGGAAAATTGTTCAAACTCATTAATAAAACAATAATAAAATACTCTGTAGGTAAAATTAAATATCACATTGGATAGCATACAAGCAAACAAATGAATATATAAAACCCTTTCTCGTATGCCTGCTACATATCTGATTCTTTTGTTTTACGTTCAGCAGTTTTATGTCTTTCAGGGTTTTTTTTTGTTTTGTTTTAATTAGAGTTTTCTTTGTCACATCAATTTGTTAAGTATTCCACACATCCACCACCCTTCCTGACATGAAGTGCTATCTTATATTTTTGCTGATCAATGTGCCTTGCAGTTCCAGCATTTGAACTTTCTCTAAGTTCTCTATTTTATTTGCTCATATCTTATTATAAGCTATGCTTTGTTTGCCTTTTGTCATTTACTCTGATATGTAATTAAGAGAAACCATCATAAAATATTTAAAAAAAAAAAGCTCATTCTGCAATACATTGGTAACTATCCATTGTGCTACTGTTATAAATCTTCAAAATTGAAATTCTTTTCAATATATTGCCTTTCAAAAACAAGCCTTGGGGTTAGACTGAGTACCTCCAATTTCAGTGCTGTTTTTATTTTATTTTAATTTAATTTTATTGTATTTGTAGCAGATCTTTCTGTTGCATAAGTACATTTCTTAAAGGACCACTCTAGGCACCCAGACCACTTCAGCTTAATGAAGTGGTCTGGGTGCCAGGTCCTTCTAGGGTTAACCCATTTTTTCATAATTATAGCAGTTTCAGAGAAACTGCTATAATTATGAATGGGTTAAGCTTTCCCCCTAATCCTCTAGTGGCTGTCTCATTGACAGTTACTGAGGCGCTATGTGTTTTCACTGTGAAAACACAGTGAGAAAGCACGCCATGCTCATAGGAAAGTAATAAGCTTGAGATCTGCTGAATGCTGCGAGTTTTGCCGCTGCTGCGCATTCAGTCGGCGGGCGTAACGAGGCGAGGAGGAGAGCTCCGCTTCCAGCGCTGAAAAAGGTAAGTTATTACCCCTTTCCCCCTTCCAGAGCCGGGCGGGAGGGGGACCCTGAGGGTGGGGGCACCCTCAGGGCACTATAGTGCCAGGAAAACGAGTATGTTTTCCTGGCACTATAGTGGTCCTTTAAAGTAACACTACAAGCACCATAACCATGACAGCATATTGAAGTGGCTCAGATACCAGGAGTGTCCTTGCATAGTCCCATCATTTTAGCAAAGTTTGACACTAACCTGGGTACCACTAGCTGCATGCTCTGCAGGATGGAAAAGCTGGATGTCACTTATGTTCAATACAGAAACTCGTTTAACTAATTCATTGCATAAGAGCATCATCATCCAGCTTCTACTGCTTAAGGCAATTGGCAGAAGCACAGACACTCAGCAGTAAATCGTTTGACACTGGGACAATGTACTTCTAGCACCATAAACACTACAGTGAGTTATTTAAACTCATAAGCACATATATTCTAAAACAGTTTTTTTAGTAATCCATCCATCCATCCATCTATAATCTATCCATCCACAAACAAAGGCCATTTATTATTTGCACATGCATAGCATATGTGTACATTTGTTTATATAAAATTACATGATCTGTTGTTATTTTAGCAAATCATGTTTTCCCAAACGACAAAGTGGGTAACATCACATGTTTCATTAAAAAGCATAATGCGTAGCAAGGTTTACTAATCTTGCAGCAGTACAGAGCCATATTTGCAGCTGCCACAATTAATTCAATCACTCTCTTTTAACGATGTGATGGGAGAGGAGCTGAAGAAAGAGAACCATTGTTATTCTGTCTTGCCAGCTCCTCTTCAGACATATCACTACCTTGAATGTGACTGAATTAAAGGCAACAATCATGAATAGCAATTTCTACATGGGGCCATAACATCTACCATTCTGAGACAGATAGGGGCATATAATTTACTAACTTTAATAAAACGCTCGCCCTGACTCTAACCTATTCTACCCCTAATGCTGATTATAATTTTTTAAATCATGTAATATATATATTTACACAGTACAAAAGAGACAAAGAATGCACAATGATAGAGTTGCATTATATATATATATATATATATATATATATATATGTATTAAGGCAATTTGCCTGCATTTGTGGGAGGTGCTGGTTTGCTACCCCTAGCCTACTTAAGGCACTCCCCTTGCCTGGCTCCTTACCGTTCGAGGTCAGCGTTGAATGAGGATCCACTTCCGGGTTCTCTCAGACGCCATCTTGGTTTCAGTATCCAGGAGGTTTCACCACGTTAAGCTGTGTCCAGGAATCCTGTTCAGGCCTTTCCGCCCGTCCAGCTTCTTCTGACTCCGTTCTCCGTCGTAGATCGCGTCCCAGGGACTCCTAAACCGTAAGTCAGACCTTCCTGTCACGCCAGGACTGGTTCCCACGGCGTACGGTACAGCACGGGTCCTCGCTTTACGGCTTTTCCCTGGTTATGACACGAATGTTTCAAGCCATTCGCGGGCTTTTCATTCGTACGGTCATTCGGCTGAACATATTTAAATCGTTCAATAGTCATTTCGCATATCCTATTTCATGTTATTGAAACAAATTTTCATTCGGTTGTTTTGCCGTTCGGCAAATTTTACATACGCTCATACACGCTTTTGGTTCGCATAAATCATACGGTTAAACTATTCTAACTTCTGTGTTCCCCTCACATTTGCTTTCGGCTTTTCTGTGTGTTCACGTATAATCCTTTCATGAATTATATTCACCATTTCATGTGTATATAACGTTCGGTTAAAGAATTACTTGCTTAAATAGATTATTTTTGATTACTTTTAAATATTGTCAGTATTGTATTACGTCCACAAATCAAGTCCACTTCTCTGTGTATACCATTTGACTCCTACGCTTCAGGGGTCTGCATTACTTATCCATTTATACAAATGGACTCAGTCTATGTTACAAGCCTCACTTCTGGGTTATTAATACAACACATACAAAGGATATAGGTTCATTTAAGCAATAATTCTCGGGTTGATACGTCTTTTCTATACAAACATATCATATAGATATACATCACTTTACATCATTTTAAATCATTTTGGGGTATCCCTGCCTTTGGTTATTCTGCTACATAGCATACATAACGCTGTGTTAATTAGGCCATGACCTCATCCATGTCCCTTTCTATAAAACCAGTTACATTTCGGTATAGATCATTGAACTCCCACGCCAGGAGTTTTATAACTATCCATTTCATTTCAATTTACTCAGCCTACATTACAGGCCTCATTTCTCTGTCATGACGATGACACATAAGGCTTAAATCCTTTTGCATGCATACTCGGGTTGAATCACACGAACTGATCCAACCAATCATACGCCCCCTGCACAGTCATATACATATGTATATAACCTACGTTTCATGTTTTCCTTTACACACCATTATCACGTAACACATAGATTGTTTGTACATAGGCCACGGCCTCCCTCAGATGTCTTATTCAAGCATGCAAACATTTCTGAGCCACTCATAGCTATTCCCATGGTATCAACATAATTTTATACATTGCTGCTACAGACTATAAGTCTGGTTCTTTACACTCCACACTCATCATACTACTCTCTTTTACCCATTTTTAGGCTGTCAAGCTTATATAATTGCTCCACACGGTTTATTCCTGTGATTTATCATACTACCAGGTACGTACACCTGCTCATATTTCATTTCATCCCCCTAGTTTAGAGTACTGGCAATAGGGTCACAGGATTCCCAATAGGTATTTACCCCGTCTTGGCTGTCGAAATTAGTTAGTGGTC